ACTAGTAGCTTCTTGTTACTAGTAGCGATGCCCTTTGTTCCTAGTAGGGATGCCCTTTGTTCCTAGTAGCTTCCTGTTCCTAGTAGTAAGGCCAAGAGCTACTAGTAGCTTCTTGTTACTAGTAGCGATGCCCTTTGTTCCTAGTAGCTTGTTCCCAGTAGTAAGGCCAAGAGTTACTAGTAGCTTCTTGTTACTAGTAGCGATGCCCTTTGTTCCTAGTAGCTTCCTGTTCCTAGTAGTAACGCCAAGAGCTACTAGTAGCTTCTTGTTACTAGTAGCGATGCCCTTTGTTCCTAGTAGCTTGTTCCTAGTAGTAAGGCCAGGAGCCCCTAGTAGCGTCCTTGCTACTAGTAGCGATGCCCTTTGCTCCTAGTAGCTTCTTGCTGCTATGAGTAAGGACCTTGGATGGACTTCAGTGCTCCTTGCCTCTTGCTATGAACAAAAGACCCGTTTTTGTCAAACCTCAGGAACTTCACATCGATCTATTAGATTGGAGGCCATCGCTCTTAGAAACAAGGTATCATTTATGTTTTTCAAACTTCAGGGACTTCATAAATCAATCTGCGACGCCAGGGCATTGACGTGCATAGAACCGGTGCAAGCGTTCAGCCTTCGTCGACTGTGCACAGTCTTTGCTTCAAAAGGCAGTCTTGGATTCAACTACCCCTTGCAACTATCGAAACAAACACTACTATGACCATGCCTTTTAAGACCATATTCATGTGTTCTATGTCCTTTTTTTCATTCCTTGTTTCTTTCTACTCTTTCTTCCTTTGTTCTTTCCTTGTTTTCCTTGCTGTTCTTTCCGGCTGCCCTGACATTGCCCTTATCAATGATAAGTTATCACTGCTCTTCCCTCGCCTCTGACGTAGTAGGTCTCAACCTGCTGAACAATGCCCATACAATCCAATGTGTGGAGGAATCGCTACTAGGGTGGAGGCCATCGCTCTTAGTTTGGAGGCCGCACATCGTGTTCCAACATGTTCCCCTTTCAACTCCTCATTGGTCATTTTCCCACCTCTGTTACTGCTTCTTTACTTCCCCTTACTCTATCTTGGCTCGCACTTAGGGTCATTGGTTGTCACTGCACCATTGCTGGAGTGCTTGTTTGAGTAAGGTCTTGACTTGAAACTCCCTATTTCTTGTTACAAACCACTAAAACATCGCTAAACAAGACCTTTGCCCAAGCCTGTGCAAAGCATTGCACAGCAGCGACACGTCCCGAGCAGACCAGGTCTTCTCAATCCTCGGATGCTTGAAGAATGTGTAGACCGGAAAGCAAGCAAATGATGGTAGCAGGGCGCAGAGATAGTTAATCAAACAAACGGGCACTGAGTAGTAGCAAATAGTAGCAAGGTTGACAATGGATGCAGTCTACTGCGGTTCTTGGATTCCAAGCGAATCTAGTACGGCAGTGACGTCATGTTCAGAGTCAAGAAAGCGTAGTCAATAGCGTAAGGGACTCTCTTGCGTATAAAGAGATATATTAATTATATATATTATATTGATGTCACTATTGATGTCTTTTGTTTGCGTAGCAAGAGGGTAGTCAAACACATTCCAATCGGTCTAGACATCGACGCTTTCGGTGTAGGCGAATTGGACGAACCTAAAACGACATCATGTCTTCAAGCAATGGCCTCCCAACCTAGTAGGGTGGCTGGCCTCTACTCTAGTAGCTTCTAGTTTCTAGAAAGGGAGAATGCTCCTAGTAGCGATGCCAGGAGCCCCTAATGGCGCCCGATCGCTCCTAGTAGCGATGCCCTTTGCTCCGTTCGTAGCTTTCTTGTTCCTAGAGATGGCCTCCAACCTCCTTTGAGCTTCGGACATCACATCTTCAAGCATCTCCAAATTCTGCTGCAGGAGCGCCTGTCAGGGGGGTAGGCCGATAGACAAAGGGTAGGGGGTAGGCTTGTAGCTAACGGTCGCTAGTAGAAGCACACGGAAGTTGCTAGCTACAAGAACGCTACTACCTAGGATGCAGGATAGCTCATTCTTCAAGGAAGCGATCGCACTATTCATGTGGTTCCTAGATTTGTTGAAACTAAGTGGAGACTACCTACTTATTTAAGTGAAGGAGTAATTAATTCAGCTGCTAGCTACTTTAGCTACTACATACTGGACGCAGGATATCTCATGCTTCCTTGAAGAAGTGCTCGCACTAATGATTTGGTTCTGAGATTTCGGGGAAACTTAAGGATAACCTCCATGAACTTACTACTAGGAGCAAGGACGCTACTAGGGGCTCCTGGCCTTACTA